GCGCTGTCGGCTGCCACCCTCCCGCCTAGGCAGGAGCCCCAGCAGGTTCTCTGCGCCCACCGCGGTCAGCCCCAAACTCGCAGCCCTGACCTTCTCGGATCTCTGCTCTTTCCCAAGGAAGAAGGAGGACAAATGCCTCCGCGATGCTCGTCTGTGCTCCCACACCACCCCAAAGCCGACCTCCCCTCCCTGGGCCTGGGGATTCACCACCACTCACTCCAGCCCAGATCTGAGGCATTGCTGGCTGTGCAGAAGTGCGCAGAGGAGAGTAATAGCAGGGTTAGAGTTGCCTACAGAGTTCTAAGGAGGTGCTCGGTGTTTACAAAGGGGCTGAGAAGAGGGTACTCGGACTCACTGGACTCACTGGAGGGTCTACTTCTGTGACCTCAGCCCAGCGTTTTTCCTTCTGTGGACCTCCATGTTCACTTCCGTGACGAGAGCCATAGTGAGCATCTACTAGCTGCCTGCTAAAGTGCTCAGCTCTACTTGCACTATGTGGCCTGCCTCTCACTGTGACCCTGTAGGGTCTATGGGTACACACCTCACACAGGAGGCGACTACAGCTTGCACAGGCTCCAAGGATCCACAGCAGAGCCAGGATTTGAACACAGGCTGATCTGACTCCTAAAGCTGTGCTTGACCCAACTGCCTCCCCACCCAGAGTGACTTCATCCAGGTTCTAGAATTGGTCTGTGCCAGCTCCTCCCCAGCCAGGGAACAATCTGGAACAATCTCTAAGAGAGAAGAGCAGCTCCAGCACTGTGCCCCCTGCCCCCAGCATCCTGGCCAATGACTTTACAGAAAGCTTTGGCAGGCAGCCACAGTTAATAAAAGGGTTTGAGCGGCCCCTCCCTTATTTCCTTGGGGATAACCATATGCCTGCCACTGTTCCCACTGCCCATTCATGCCATTTGTGATCTTGGAGTGGTAGAGAGGTGTCTTCACCCTGCATCCCCCACCCTGTCCTTAATGAGAGAGCCTCTGGAAAGTGGCTAAACCGCCCCCCCCCCCACTCCCATGACATTCTCACTCTGTGTCCCAGCCAGAGAACCAGGGAAAGATGCATGGACCTGGCTCCCAGGTTTCCTGAAAGGGAGGGACTCCTCATCTCTCCAAATGAGCCCCTTCCCCCTACTATCTGGAATTCCACCACTGGGAGGCATTCCCTTGGGACTTAAAAGGTCTGGTTTTCTAGAGGGCCTGGAAGGGCTAATTTTCTTTGAAAAGATGACACTTTGCAAAGTTATCCCACAGAACGTCTTCAAGCTCTTCCTCTCCAAGCCCCTCCCCCCAATTTTAGATTAGAAAATTGAGATCCAGCAACAGAAGAGAAGAGCTCGTTGCAAATTCACACAGCAAGGCAAGAGCAGCAATAGAACACCCCTCATCTAATACCCATTCCTTCCACTGCCCCCCACATTTCACTTGGTCACCTTCCAAGGGGTGGGATGGGAAGGAACCTAGGGGCTGCCCAGCCCTTCTACCCTCAGGCCAGATTCACTTGGCAGCTGACACTGCCCAGCTCATCCTTTCCTCAGCACATACCTTGCTTGTCTTGAGAGAGGCCTCAGCTGGGGCCTTGACCTGTTTGGGATAGGAGCCGGGGAGCCAGAGCACTTCTTCTCTCTCTTTCTCTCTGTCTCCTTACTATCTTCTTTCTTTCTCTCTCCCAGCAGCTGCTGCCTGCCCCGCCCCGCCCCGCCCCACCAGCTGCAGCTTAGCCCCTAGGGACCCCTCCTTCCCCCCACCACCCCTCAGGCATGAACAGACAACCAGAGGGCCTGCAGGAGCAACAGGAGCCTCCTCGAGTCTTCATGGCAGGAATCAGCAGGAAGGAGAGGGTTCAGTGAGAGGACACAGAATCCACTTCTGCCCCTGCTAGAGAGAAAAGGAGGGAGGGACAGGGTCCTTGTGGGGTCTGGCCTCTAGGCCAGTGCTGGGGAAATGGGAGCCCTAGCGCCATCTACTGGCCTTTCCGGGCAAAACCCCAGGTAGATGTAGGGCACTGGGAGGGGGGCAGATGGCAGTGCCTGAGGTTTGAGACAGATGAGGAAAGGTGGTTGGTGGAGGGGGCATGGAGGACTGGGAAGGTTTGGAGAGTTGTTCTGTAGAGGGGTGCAGCCTTCCCAGGCCTCATGATGCATGGGGTGCTTGGGCACTACCTCAATGCTGGGAAAAGTGCTGGTGCCTTCATTCTGACACCCCTGGGAGCTGGGTTGGCAGCAGGAATTGCTAGGAGCATTTAGAGGTGCCCTGGGTGAGTTTATGAGGGCACTTTCAGGGCCAGTTGCTTATGTACACCATTTGTACACCCTTTC